TTGGAAGTGGGTATGGAATATATGAAAACCTTGTGTTTATAATCATTTAAGCAAGTGCTTCTCAACCAAAGGGCTGCAACACCCTGGTATGCCACCAGATCTTTTAAATGGTGGCTCAAGTTGCAAGAAGATAAGTTGACTGTGAGGAGATAAGCATAGGCTCAGGCCTGGCCAATTCCCCCAGCCCCCACAGCCCTGCTTCTCTGCAAGGAGGTGAGCAGTGTCATATACACTTGAGTGTTTGAAATGGGGTCTCACTCAAATCACCAAAGTTATAGAGGTGCCCGTAGTACAATGAGGTTAAGAACCACTGGTTCAAGCATTTCACTCATCACTAAAAAGACTATTTTGAGTATACGTATCTGAAGTGTCTATACCATAATGGAGCTCCCTAAAGCACATTTAAAATATGTGGCCCTTTCCTCTATCTCATGAGCCTCATTATATCTTCTTAAAAAATTAATTACTTGTGAAACACATGCACACATCTTCCTGATGTAAGCTTTCCACTGCTCCATGTGTGCTTCAGACAGTCCAGTAGCAGGTGCATTTCTCTGTGTAAGTGGCATCATTCTAAATCAATAGACCATTTGTAGTAATGAAGGGCATCCTGTGACTTGCTTGTTTTGCTCTGTCACATGCCAAAACCAATTACATCAAACACCCTGACAATCTGCAGACCTTGCAAGGAGTCTGATATTTTATTTATGATGGGTGAGGGGGAGCATCTGTGACAGTTTTTATGCTGTGTTGGCATCAAGCTACTTAATATACTGAATGCTACCCTCTCTGAGTGATTGGTGTTATGGAAGAGATGAGTAATGATGAATGTTTCCCATGGCTGGCTTAAGGAAAAATGGTCTGATATTCCTATTTTACTAACTTATCTGAAGTAATTTGAGAGCTCAGTAAATGTCAGACAACTGTAGTTGCATGTTTGTGTATGTAAGTGTGTGTACAAAGCAAATTATACAAAGAATGCAAATCAAGAGGGGAAGAACAGAAGTATATCCAAGTAGATCTAGACAGATTACGGAGGTGGGCGGATGAGAATAGGATGGAATTCAACGTGGACAAGTGCAAGGTGCTGCGTCTAGAGAGAAGGAACCTGCAACACACCGATAGGCTGGGGAACTCCCTTCTCACCAACACAGTGGCTGAAAGGGATCTTGGAGTCATTGTTGACTCCAGGATGAACATGAACCACCAATGTGAGGAAGCAGTCAGTTAAGGCTAACTGCACCTTGTTGTGCATCTACAGATGCATCACAAGCAGATCCAGGGAGGTGACCCTTCCCCTCTATGCAGCACTGGTCAGGCCACAGCTGGAGTACTGCAGCCAGTTCTGGGTGCTGCACTGCAAGAAGGATGTGGCTAACCTTGAGAGGGTGCAGAGGAGGGCCACTCGCATGGTCAAGGGGCAGCGGGGTAGGTTGTACAAGGAGAGGCTAAAGGGCCTGAATCTATTCAGCCTCCACAAGAGAAGACTCAGAGGGGATCTGGTGGCCATCTATAAACTCACTGGGAGGGACCAGCAGAAAATGGGGGAAGCTCTGTTCCCCAGGGCACCACCTGGGATAACAAGGAATACCAGCCACTAATTGATTGAGAGCAGGTTCAGGCTTGATATCAGGAAGCATTACTTTACGGTTAGGGCTGCCAGGCTCTGGAATGGGTTCCCCAGGGAGGTGGTGCTCTCCCCTACCTTGGGGGCCTTCAAGAGGTGGTTGGATAGATATCTGGCTGGGGTATTATGATCCCAGCACTTGTTCCTGCCCAGGGCAGGAGGTCGGACTTGATGATCTGTTCAGGTCCCTTCCGACCCTAGAAACTATGAAACTATCCAAGGGTAGGTATTTGCAAAGTATATTATACCTATCCAAGGGTAGGTATAATGTGAATGAAATACATATTTACGATTGATCTACAGATACAGTCCAACATACTTTCTCAACTAATGATGAAAAGTGGAATGCAGCTAAGCTTGGAGTCTGATTTCCAGTGTTACAAGCCTACTGGATCAGACCACAGAAAAGGCATAGCAGGGCAGCTCCATGCCTGAGGTAGCCCCACATGCAGAGCAGTGTTGGCTGTTACTGCTGCTGTGGCAGCAGTGGCTTTTGCGCTCCCTCCACAAAGGAGGTTCCTGGGGCTGGTGCCCTAGTCACCCCCTCTTAGTTATGCTACCAGACCACAGGTCTGTCTAGCCCAGTATCCCATATCAGGTGTTACAAGGAGGATTCATGTGATACGATATCTGGATTTTGAAAAACCTTGTGACAAGGTCCCTCACCAAAGGCTTTAAAAAAAACCAAACCTGAGTTGTCAGGGGTTTGGAATGTAATTCCTTTTGTGGCTTAAAAGATAGGAAACAAAGAGTAGCACTAAGTGATTATTTTTCAGGGTGGAGAAAGATCAGTTGTGAAGTCCCACAGTGATCTGTGCTGGGGCTGACTTTATTCAATATTTCCATAAATGACCTGGAAAAGGGAGTGTCCAGGAAAGAGAAAAGATTGCAAATGATTCTCTAAATTATTCTGGATAGTCGCTTACCAAACTGATGGTGCAGAGCTGCAGAAAGATCTCTCAAAACTCAGTGAAGGGGCAAAAAATGGAAAACGAAATTCCGTGTTGACAAGTGCAAGGTAATGCATCTGGGAAAAACTAACCTCAACTAATATGCTCATAATGCTAGGCTCCAAACTAGCTGTTACCGTTCAGGAAAAAGTCCATGGATTCATTGCAGATCGCTTTCTAGAACAGCAACCAAATCAATAAAATGTTTGGCATCAAGAAGGGAATTGGATGAAAAAAAAAGCAAAATATCTTTGATGCCACTGTAAATCCATGGTATGCCCTTTCCCATATTTTGAGTATGGCATGCAGTTCTGGGTCTCTATCTTAAAAAAGGTGTAGTAGAATTAGAAAAGGGCAACAAAAATGATCAGATATATGGAGCAGATGCCACTACAAAAGCAACTGAGAAGGCTGGGACTTCAGTTTGGAAAGGAAAAAGGCTGAGTGGTAGGCATAAGCGAGGGGTAAGTTACTAATGACTCTCGCTCTAAATCATCTACTACTTGCCACTTTCGTCATCAACAGCATACTGAGCTAGATGGACCATTGGTCTGATCCAGTGTGACGCTTCTTACCTTTCTCATGTTCACAGAGTGCCTGCTAAGAGCAAGAGTGTTTATGGAGGGCCTGTCCAGACTAATCTGTTCTCTGCTCCGCTTCCCCTCCAGCTTAGAGAGGTACTGGAATCACCTCCCCCTCTCTTCCAAGAATCAGCCAGGGCAGCAATGACCTTGTGCTGTGCTCTGCCATAGGGGCTGAGCAGGCAGCTTCTCACCGAGTAGTGTATCTGGAGAGAAGGGGAATGAGCAGAGTGGTGCCTCCCCTCTGTCCTAAGGAGTGTTTTCCATGCAGGCACAGTATTCGGCCCCTTGGCATATCTGGGCAGGGAAGGGCTGCTTTCAAGGAGCCGGTGCCATGGGGCTGCTGCCCCTGGTGTGCAGCAAGCTTGTCCCCTCAGTGGCAGCTATGGCTTGAGTGCAGAGAGCACCGACAGGTAAGAGACTCTGTCCCCCTCTGCCCCTGTCCTTCCCACTTTCCCTTCCCCCTACCTCTAGGTGTTGAAGAAGCTTGAGTGCCTGTGTATGAAGGTATAGAGTTTTAGTTAAACATCTCTCCAGTGCTTTGAACATAAAGCATTGCATTGCATAAATGCTAAATAGTATTGCAAAGGTTTATGCAAGGATCTACAGAATCAGGACCATAATATTGTTTTAATACACTGTTTTGATTATATAGCAAGCATGATCATGCTTAATGGAATTGGCATGCATATAATAAATCGACTCTAATATAAAAAGAGACCTCATCTGGATTATGATTCTCAGCCAGACAAATCTGAAAGAGGACTGCCAGAGTCATAATTGCTTCTTCCCTTCTGCATGAGCTGACAAATCTTGATGTGGTTAAGCACTGCTCTTGTGTTCTTGCTCATCTTTGATGTACAGTGGTTTGTGTGCTCTGCTTCAAACAGAGGATTCTTGAAAGATGCTACTGTAAATGAGTTTCTTGACCCAGGGAGAGCCTGACTACTGTTATTCATAAGTTATTTTTATGTTGGAAGATGTGCTTGTGTCTATCACTCTCTTAGGGTAACTAATTACATAGAAAAACAGTGCTTAATGTTCAAAGGCAGCCAGTATGCTCTAGTGTGAGGACTTGCTCCCAAGCAGTCATAGGTTTAACAGTAATGTCTGTATCCCTGGGGTTAGAAGTTTGCAAACTGCCTCTTTTTTCAGGTGAAAGCTCTCAGTTTCTAAAAATTCATAGCAATTGACATAGATTCAGAGATGGGTATAAAACCAGTAGAGGATAAGAAGTTGACCAACCCATCACTTCTGGTACTGTCTGCAGAATTCCTTGGAGAACAGTGCAGTCTGGGTATCTAAATGTGGATGTCTCACTTAGGAGTTAAACCTTTCTCAGATTGCTAGTCATGACACCAGCCCAAGCAAAGTAGATCAGAGTTATAGCTTAGGACCTAATTCAAGACAAAAGCTTAACTTTGAGGATGCCACTGATGTTAATAGGGCTGTTCAACAATTTAAAAACGGGTATATGCTAAAGAACCTTCCTGAATAGCATCCTAAACCCATTCATTGGAGTTGAGAGTGTTCATTGACTTCTTACATGGACTTGTTGTCATTGGCAGAAAGAACAAAGTGTCACCCCTCCCTCCATATTTCTAGTATGCATTTAATCTATTCTTGAGAATTGTTTTTTAGAAATTTCCCATAATTTTTTTTCCAATAGCTCAACGATGCTGGCAGCTCATGTGTTAACAAACCCTAGTGAGTGATGTTCCGTAGTGAGCCAATTAGACGTGCTCTGAGCAAATTTAAACTGTTGGTAACCAAATTTAGATTATAAATGATAAAGACCCTGGCTGAGGTGACTGAAAAAAATCAAAATAAAATGTAGTCAGAGTATTGATTTTTATTACATGATGCGGACTTAATCTTACTGCATTTTCATATAGGCTATTTGATACATGCTTAGACAATGGTTAATATGGTATTGCAGCTCCATTTAAAAACTACATGCAAAATCCAGTCCCTCCTTGGGGTTTCTGGTCTTGCTGCATGCTCAGTTCTGTAGTAGAGTCTACACCAATGTTGCTACTGCCTGCATGCTGCGGGTGCTTTCAGGGCTTCTGTTGGCTTTGGGGTGGCCTCTCTCTCTGTAGCCGCTCTCTGGGCTGTACTGAGGCTGTGTCTGGTGCCTCCGGAAGTTCCTCACGGTCCGAATGGTGCGAGCGCAGATGACAGAGCTTGGGAAGTACAAACAGGCAGCCACGATACCAAAGACAGCAACAGCTGCATCACCTCCCTGCACCTCGCAGTTCATTGATGTGTATCCCCGGCGTGCATACAACCTCTCCCTCTTCTTGCATACATCTGTTGTGTTCACCTGGATGACAAAGTGCAGGTAGAGGCCAACGGCTGCAGTGTACGCCATACCAGCCAGAATATCAAAGGCACATTCTGCCATGAGCAGTGGCATGGAGAGGCGATGAATTGGCTTTGCCCCAATGACAAGGAACAGGAGTGTAAGTGCAGCCATTGTCAGGCTGAAGGCAATGCCCCCGTACACACAAGGGGCTCTCATCTGGCTGAACTGCATGTCCAGGTCTCTCACCTCCTTGAGTTCATATCCTTCAAATGGGCTGTAAGCAGTATCCAGGCTGAAGGAGCCCATTCCCAAGCCGCCCATGGAGCTGTAGCCTGAAATGGCCGCCTGGGCAGCCGCAACACAAATCAGCACCAGAATGCCGACTGTAATTTCAACAAATTTCAAAATACCTGAAGGAGAAATAAATATTGATTTTTAATATGCTGTTGACAAAAATAAGAACATGTGAATGCAAGTGCGCGTATACACACACACTGAGTTCCTTTCAGGGCTTATTGAGCTGCTTTGTTTAGCTGTTGTTATAGAAAAACCTTGCTTTGTAAATGAAGCATTTGCTTCAGAGGGAGAGTTATACAGCTGGAGCAAGATGGTTTTTTCAGTAATTTGACAGAGTGCTGGATGAGTGGATCAACCAAGAAAAATCCATAAAGATTTTACAACACACTTGGGCTACAGAGACGGCAAGTGAATAGTGGTCGTATTTTGTCCTTCAGCTCCTTGATGTAATGCTGAATGGGAGCTGTCCATCCTGAACTAAATTCTAATGAGATTTTTATAATTACATTTAAGAAGCTGAACAGTTGGCCTATGTTCAAATTACATTCGGGAAGGTGCACATTTAACTTATGTGCGCTCCAACTTTATCTCCTTTACAGGAAAATAAATTTTATGAAGCAATTGCTGTAGCTACTATCAAATGCGTCTTGTATGGTGTGGGGGTGGGAAATTTAAACCAGCCTGACGCTTTTTGGACATCTCTGACATCCACCCCCTTTCTTGGAGAAGGCTAGGCTGAAGTTCTAGGACTAAGGGTTTCTGAGCTGGCCATTTTCCTTTACCTACTGGCTGTAAGCAAGACCATAGAGGTGGATCCTACTGCTCATTTTTGTGTCTGATAAAACAAAATCTTAGATTACATTGATTATTAGCCACCAGGGGTCAGACTAAGATTAGTAAATGTTTTCCTGCAGTTCAATCAGTGGTTCTCAGTCTTCTTAGGTTCAAGACACCCCCAGATAGACTCGAGGCACTCCTTGTCAGGCACTCCTCAGAAAATGCCAAATCTTAGTTTTGGATAATTTTTTAACTACAGAATAATAACAGAGCAATTCTGCTGCAAAGAACTCAGAAAGACCACAATAGGGCAGAAAGTTGTTAATGCTATGATTTCCTATTGGAAATATCTGGGTTTATCTTGTGAATCATGTTTGTACACTTAACCATGCTTAACTTTGCGTGTCACACTGTGGCACCTTTGAAAGGATCTCAAGGCACTCCAGGGTGGCTGAGAATCACTGGGCTATATATTTGACTGTAGCTGAGCTGAATTTCAGGAGGTAAAAGTCCCTAGCATAACGAATGTGCTATGCTGCTTAAGACCTGAAGGTAATTACTGAGTCCCTATAGCTCTCACCTCCTCCTTGTAATAATAAGTGTGAACGCAGTCTTAGTGTTAGAAACTTGCCAAAATGCTCCTACATTTCTAGGCTGTTAAAAGTGGGACAGGCACTGGGCAGCTTTCAATAGTCCACTTTGTTCTGCAAGGAAAAACAGTGAATTAGCACAAGAAACCAGACCTCTTCATCTATTACATTGGCACATGCTACAGGGATGGGAGATTCAGCAGCCTTCATTAAGAACGGTCAGATACTCCCTCTTGTGTTTTGCCCAGGAAGGAGCGACTCCCTTGGTACTGATATCTTCCTAACTGGAAGGAACTTTGTACTGCAGATCTGAACCTGCGGTTCTGCTGTGCCCCTCTATTCACAAAGGGCCTGAGTCTGCTACGCTGCTTGCAGTGGGACTCCTCCCAGAATGAAGTTCTAATTAGCATTGAGTACTAGCAGGATGTGGCCTTAAACAAGTAGGAAAAAAAAATAAGTTAGAGGTGCAATCATTCCTGCAGCAGCCAGGAGTCGCTTTATAGCCTGTTGTTTCCAGAGAGACAGGGCAGTCGGGTTAGACGGGTTTATGTGCGTCTGTAAAGTTCCCCCACTGAACTGCCAGTACTTTATTGGCTGAGAATTTAGGTCCTACCTGAAGTCCAGTGTGTTGTGCTTAATATGCACGCACCACCTAGAGCAGTGGTTCTCAACCTTTTTTGTACCAGGGCCCATTTGTAAACAGCAATGACCTGTCCTGACTCAGTGCCCCTCATTCCTGACCCACTGCCCCCCAGCTCCTGGCTCCAGCCCCTCAATGTATGGGGCAGGAGGGTGGTTGTATGGGGGGCCCCAGCAGCCCCTTGCAGGCTGGAACTCTGCCAGCTTGCAAGGGAAAAGCCACCATTTCCCAAGTTTTTCTCTTTTAAAGGAAAATCCATTTTCAAGTTTGTTCATGACCCTTTCATATATATATTCTTATATATACATTCATATATTCTTGTGACCCACTTTTGGGTCACAACCCATGGGTTGAGAAACACTGATGTAGAGGATTCACCTCTTGAGTTACTTGCCACATATACAAATTGATTGTTAAATGTGCATCTGAGGTTCTATCAAAGGAAAACATGCATGTTCAGCTTTGCGTTTCACCCAGAGCAAATCAAGCAACTGTAAATTACTGTGGTACTGGGAACAGCTGGCAAGTTTTATACAAGCAATAAACTGCTAATGCAAACCCCAGAGGTTTGTATAGTCATCAGGGTGAAGAGAAGGAATCCTGAAGCCTTCCGAATGTTCAGGTGTTGCATGTTTTGGGCTACATCCAAACTCTGCACACAACTGTGTCGACATGGTTTAATTCCCTCCCTACTTTCTTTGTTACTGCCCCATAGAAAAACTCCCTCCTGCCACCTTCCTGTACCAACATATAGCTCTGTTCACATGAGGTATCTTTTGCAAAGGCTTCCCACAGCTTTTACACTGGCTCCTATGTTGTGCCCAGCCACATGTTTTCACTTTTGCATTTGTTACGCACACTCTGGCTTAGGTTTGACCATGTTGGAGAATCAGTCTGTTGCTGCACTGTGTCTACACTAGTGCCCTCTGTTACTCATACTAGTAGAGGTATACCAGTTTTAGTGCTCATGGGAAACATTTGCATAAAAAATCCTTCATTTGACTAGGTTTGATCTATATTTGTTTATATCGGATGCCCATTTTTCTGTACCAGATCAAACAATGGTGGGGGGGACCCATGTTTGGATACCATTGTGGAGAAACGAGCAAGAACTATATTGGTGTAAACACAGCTGTTAAGTGCTTCCACATTAAGGAGAAAGAGTTTGTACTTTGTCTAGGCTTATGACTGTCTGGCATGCATTTGGGATGTGTCAACTAACACCTGATAGGATAGTGTTCACCGTACTATGTATGATGCACACTGAGGTGGGGAAGTTATAGCTCTTAACATTTCACCTTTGTGTGTGTTTGTGCCTACATACACTGCCTTGTATTCTTTCAGAAGACATTGCCTACCATGTTTGAACAGCATACATCTAAATCCTAGCACATACCAAGCCTCCATGGTTAGACAGGAGTGGAAAATGGATGATATTGCCCATAAAGTGAAGGAGCTGTTGTTTCCACTCATGGATAGCTCTGCTTGCCTGCTTATAACTTCGCTGTTGAAAGCAGAATCCACACACAGAACAATTCTTGCCTCAATGCTTTATTCAAAAAGCATAATTATAAATGCTAGTGTTAGGCAATATTGAATGCAGGCAGATGGTGGCACTTGCTCTAGCTTGTGGGTAGAATTTGTTTTACATATGGATAAAGGGAAGCCTGCCATCAGGAGGCATAAATGATCTCAACTGCTTGGGTTTAATTTTAAAATTAAACCTGACATGTTGAAATTGGCTTTAGGAGAACAAGAAGGAATTTATCAGCTCTGCCCTGAACTATTGCTGCAGCTTTGAGGTAAGTTGGATTCATATGTAGGCTAATCAGGCCATAAAAGTGTTTCAGCAGTTTGTTCCCACTGTGATTTTTTTTTTTTTTTTTTTTTGACCAGTGAGAGTGGTTTTGCGTAAGGAACAATGGCTCATTGTTATGGTCTGGTGTGGAATGTGAAATGAGGTCTGGGAGTTTTAAAGGAAAACTCTATTGTGTGGGGTTTGGGGGTTTTTTTCCCCTTTCTTCAGAATGTGGCAGATTGATCTGAAATAATGGTATTGACTCCTTTGAAAATTGAGGCAGTTAAATTCCATCATGAAGTGAAGTACTGCTGCACAACCTACACCTGCATCAAGCAAGTATCCGGGTATAGGCTACACTTCTGGATGCCTTTCCATTCTTGGCTAATAATTCCTTGGTACTTCCTCACCCCAGCCCCATACTCTTCCCTGATCCACTTGTCAGGCACCTAATTTGGCCACCAAAGAGACCCTCCATCTCCTCAAGTGATCTCTCCTTGTACATCTCCAGCTAGCCTGGCTTTCTCCTCAGGTGGGGGAAGCAGCAGTGTCTGTCCCTGGCAAGTATGTCTCCCCACCGTCAGCATACCATCAATTTTCCTCTCCCTGTCTGACCCAGCAGATGATGGGCCATGGGTGTGGGAGGTGGGGTGGTGTATGTGTACAGTACAAGCAGCTAGAGGTGAGAACAGCCAGTACTGTTAATGTGATCTGCCTGGGTGATGGACATGATAGACAGGATCTTTCTAGAGTCTCATGTCACCTTTCCCATAATCAAGAACTGTAGAGGGTAAGGGTTCAAACATTGCACTTGTTCTGATTCTCTTGGGACTGTTGACATTTTCAGTGCCTTTTTTTTTCCCTGCCACAAGTGCTTGATGCTCTACTGTGGGACCCAGGAACTTTTCATGCCCTTCCCCAGGGACTGCACCCCATAGCTTGGGAAATGCTGATCAAGAACAGCACCCTTTAAATAATTCCTATAGACAATGACTGCTCCAAGATCTGCACTTTCAACACGCTGTCAAACACAACCTCTTCTAATCAGGAAATCTCTCTGTGCCCGACCTCCCGCCACCAATTATTTCTTCTCCCTCATTTTGAGAATTGGGTTTGTCCAAGGCCCCTTCCTGGTTCAAGTTAAATCGGAGTGCCCCAGCATCCAAGCAAATTTTGCAGCCCTGGGTTGGGCTGTGCTGTCTGCTCCAGAGAGCAGAGCTGGCCATGCCTCTCTGCTCCCTAGCTGGAGCAATAAGGGATGACTCACTGGCCCCCCTAGGCAAAACCGAGCTGGGGTCTGAGGCCAGG